CACTTCCGCTCCAGAAAGTCACGCAAGGGCCGGGACGACGACGACAATGTGTTTTCTTTTGTCTTCTTTTTTGATGCTCGCAACTTATGTGTGTTTCACATGTTAGCTTATTTTCTTAGATTGAATTTATCCCCCGTTTTTTGTAGTGTTATATTGCCATCAGTAATATTAATATTTTTGAAAATGTTTCAAGTTCGCACAGACAAATTTTTTGGTACGTAATTTATAAGAGGAACAAATTGGATTAATTTTTCTCAGCTTTTTTCTATCGAGTTTTATTAGAATTTATTCTGATAAAGTAGACATGCAGATTTCTTCTTGGATTGAATTTGTCCCTTCCTTCTTTAAATTATCACTGTTACATATACCGAAATACGTTTTGATACGAGGGGTTCATAAATAAGTTTCAAATTTTTTTGTCCCACCAAGTTGGACAAATTGGAATAATTTTTTTCTCCCGAGTTTTATTAGAATTCTGATTAAGTGGACTACACAAGTCTTGCTTGGTTAGGGTTAGGGAATTGGGTGAAGGGTACTTGTGGGAATTATGATGATCAAAGAAAAGCCTATGCCGTATGTGGGGAGCTCACATTGTGTGAAACGTCCTGTGCTATCAAAACCCTCGGAAAAAAGAGTAGGAAGGAACGATTACCAAGTGGAGGGAGTGATGTGAAAAAAATTCGTGGCATTGATTTTGATCATCATCATCCCCTCTCTCGTGTCCATGGGGGACTTGATGAATACGGTTTTGTGTTGTGTTGTTGTCCGATTATTTTATAAATGAATAGCCGTTTTGACAGCTTTTCATCATCTCTCAATTCTCAGTCTCAGCTGCTTCTGCTCTTGGGGAGATAGAAACGCAGTAGTGGATTTTGGTCCATGTATGTGTGTACTAAATAATAGCAGGAAGAAAATAAGGAAGGAAACGCGATCTCCAAACATAGACGGGTTTTCCTCGTGGGGAAATTTGTATATATGCAGTTTTTGTATGTAAACCTACCCTTGTGAAAGAATGAATGAAGGAACAGCAGTTGTGCGGTGTAGTTTGTACGTAGTGAGAGACTTTTGGAGTGTGTGATTCTCAAATGAATCAAACAATGCTCTTATTATTATGATGAATATCTAGTCGTAGTGGATCTATAGAAGAGAGAGAGAGTTCTGCCCCCAGCGTGAACAAGCAGTATGGCCGCCATCCAATCCATTCACTCGAGAGAGCAGGCACCGAGGATAAAGTGGTGCGTTGCTAAATAGTTGAGGGAATCAAGTGATGGGGTTTTTTGTTCGGAGTAAATTTTGGATAATTTTATCTTTAAGAGGTGAGAATAAGTAATGGCACATTAAGAAAAATAAAGGCATAATTCACACACCCGGAAGATTAGATTGTGGTAGGAAATTCGAAATTCTGACTATTTTCTATACCGGAGTAGATACAATTTTGATAGTGAAAATAATGGGCAAATTTGGTGTATAATTTCACCCAAAGTACAAAAATTAGATCGGATTAGTTTGTGCACAAAGGTATAATAAAATCTTGACCGTGAAATTTGCGAAAATATTGAAATGCAATAATTTTTTTGCAAGTGAGTATTCACTTGAGAACAAAACGATTTTTTTATCCCATTTTAATTCGCAATGTGCAATCCAGCTAATTTCGCGGAAGGGCCACTATCGAGGCGATGGAGGCGATTGTGAAGGTGTCATCCTTGAATTGCGGGATTTGTTTGTATTGTACCGTGGGACAGATGTGGATTAGGTGTTGATTGAGGTGGAAAGATGACGATGATGGTGGGACAATTAGGAAAAATACGGTCGATGGTCCATGTTTGCCCTATCTCACCACCACCACCATTGTTTTCTCGTCTCGTTCCCTGAGCTCTTTTCTCCCAGGCGCCCAGCCATCCCTCCGGTCCACTAGGCTTCAAAAGGATGAACCCAATTTGCCCAGAAAATAGAGACAGACACGCCAACAAGAAGACCAAGAAGGGTCGGGATGACACTGTGGAAGCCCTTGAGAAGGAGCACATATTCTTCTCCTCCTAATCTCAAGAGGACAGTTTTAATGTGGACAAAAAGATGCCGAAAAGATGGGAGAAAATGTTTACGGCCCAGATAAGATGGGTCCAGGGTGAAGGATGTGACTATTTTTACCCCATTTTCACTCCTTTTTCTCCTAAAAGGCATCCTTTCCGCATTCCCCCTTCGCCCAAATTGGCACGAGATTCTCCAAGATTCTTGAACGTGATCAAGGGTCTCCGCTCCTTTCCTTGAGTGGGCGTCTTGAAAATTCAGTTTTTTTTCGCCTTCGGGGCACCATGAAAAAATGCAGTTGCAATTTGTTCCTTTTGCAATATTAATAAGACATGCATTTAGTACTTTACACAGATAATTTGGTCTCCTCACATGCGAAGAAGTTGAAGTTGACCATAAATTATTTTGCATTCACGAGAGGTTTCTTACTGTATGAGAAATAGTGTCACTTTGCCACAAGCGAACAGCAAGAGAGTAAAAGATTACGAAATTGATGTAAGTTGTGTTCGACTTTGATACCATTTTTTTATAAATTATGCCTGAATCTTGTCGTGGTGAGAAATGCGACGCGTTTGATCTCGCCGTCGAGAAAGATATTTGATTTGCGAGAGGAATGAATACGTTTCAACCAATTCGCCGTCTCCGTGATGATGAGGAGAGAGAGAGACGATTGATTGATTTATTTATTCAATGACCTGCCGAGTAGGACGTGGCGTGCTATACTTTTTTACGTGATAAATAAATGGGTCGTGCAGATAAGATGTGCCGCATTTTTGGGAAGATTCTGGAAATCGAGAAATTTTGATGTCCAAACTTTCCCCCAGAATATTCCTCCACATTTTTTCGTAATAGTGCAGAAACGATGTGGAACATTCTTATCATTTCGGACGCCATGTGACGATCATCATCATGGAAATTGTAGAACATTTGACGCCCAAGTTGTTCCCTAGAATTAGGAATTCTCCGCTCTCTCGCAAACTTTGGGTTTTTGTTGCGCCCAGAATTATTTAGTCGAGAGAGCCTATACGCTTTCTCGAGGCGAAAGGGATAATGTACGAGATCGCTCGCTGTTCAGGCTGAGTGATGATGAATAAATGAGTGAAATGTACTCTGTGGGAATAGAATGAAATTGTGCACCAACCGCTGTGAAGAAATGGCATGATATGGAATCATACGAAACAAAACGCCCATTCATTATGCAGTAATGTTGGTTTGGTGGATGGATGGATGGATGGCTGGCTGGCAGACACCACCGCCTCACTATAAATAATCTCATTAGCACCGTTGTTTTTTCCCTCAAAATTACTACTCCCTCTTCTCCGGCACGAAGCATTTACACAGGAGTCGGCCGTGTTAATGACGGTGTTCTCTCCGCCAAACTAATAGTCGTACATGCACGCGGTCATGAGAGAATTTATGAAACGCCAATTTCTTCTCTTGGGTGGATTGGATTTCACTGTTTGCTGGCTGCATTGATGTGAGTGGATTTATGGATGTGGTCACTTTAGCTGGTGATATTTGCGGCTATTTGCGATTAAGTGAGTGAGGTGCGAAGTTAGACTTGATAGCGTTTTTGTGTCATGTCGACGCACACCCAAACTGTCAAGGAGAGATTGTGGACAGGACACTCCTGCCTCGCCATCACTGAACTCGGCTCTCTCAATGATAATAAATTATTTGGGACATGCCATATTTCATAAGAGGGTGAATTGCATGGTTTTCTCTCTCTCGAATTATATGCACCTACCTTTTGCCAGTAGTTCTATACTTGCAAAAGTATTTATTCTAACGTGTCGCCCAACACGAGATTACACTGAGTTTCAGACAAAAAATGGCTATCGGGACCTGATTTGTCCCACAATTTGGCACTCCGTCAAAGAAATTTAGCATCGTTGGCGTTGTCCTTGTGAACCATCCAGTTTTTGAGGAGAGGAGGAGATTGAAACGTTAAGAGAAATGCGTATCAAGTGGAAAATGCAGCTCGTGAAGTGTGTATGGATTCGCTCGCTCTCCTCTTTGTCAACCAAGCGTGACGACAAAGACGATGAAGATATTTGTACAGAGGAGAGTTGATATGTTCATGAGAAGGATAATCACGTCAAGACTGAAATATTAGGAGGAGGGGGCGATGCAGGAAGGATTTCGGGGAATTTTAAGACCCAGTAGAGCATTATACATAGTTTATAATAATGAGTAGCCTTTTTGTTTTTGCGAAATTTGTCCCTGGAAATTTTATAGTTAAAAAAATAAATTCAAAAATTGGAAATGTATGAAAAATAAAATTAACTCTGTAGCTCTCCCTAAAATTTTGTAAAATTGGGGATTTGGGAGAATTTTAACCTTCAAAAACTTTTGAATGGGAAGAGCTATTTAGTTTTTTTTTTAAATAGTCTCAATTTTTTGATTGATTTTTTCACCCACACAATTTCCAAGGCACTACTTCACAAACTGAAGGCCTGGCTATCTTTGCTCCGTAATAATCCTGCCAAAAGTCTGTAACTCTCTCAAGCCACGTACATACGAAATGAATGCAGGCTCCCGGAGAGAGGGGTTTGCTATTATCTTTATCTATCTATCTGCTCTCTCAGCAGCGACAGACTTTATGGTCGTCGTCTTAAATATTAACTTGATCTTGAAGAAGAAGAAGCCGCAGCAGGACGACGACGACTTGGACTTTGACGATGAATAAAATGTTTGTTTCTTATTAGTCATGAATTTGGTTGTTTCTAAGGAAAGTGAGCTTTTTTTTGTTGGTGTGATGTGACTAGCTCCGATTCTTGGTCTTTAATCGAGCTGAATCATGGTTGAGCATACAGATGTGCGTTGTGGTGTTCTTCACTGACACGATGACGATAAGGAAGCCATGTGTTGTGTTGTTATATTCTTCGAGTCGTGATAAATTATTCTAATCTGGTTTTCCTCTGTCGGTATGATTTTTTTACTCACTCGCTCCGCTTTCTTCTTCTTTGCAGGCAAATGTTCCCTCAGATGAAGTTTCGAGTATCTGGACTTGACCCGAAGGCCAAATATATTCTCCTTTTGGACATCGTGGCCGCGGACGATTACCGATACAAGTTTCACAACAGGTTAGTTAACCTTATCTCCTCAAATTAGAAGGAGTTATTTATGGAATGGTTTACTTCTTTTAATGGCATAATTTTGTGATGAGGTCTCAATTTTTCACGTCACAAGGAAGCGAAGCACGATTTCTTGAGTAAAAAAACACATTTTGCTATAATTTTAGGCTCGTTTTCTTACTTGTTAGTTATCAATACTGCAGTTTTTAAATATGTCGCAAGTTACGGAGGAGTGAAGTATTTAGCTTTTGAAGAACAAATGCTGGATTTTTTTTACATGAAGTTATGTAACAAGGATTTTAGAGAGAAAAAAATCCATAAAAATCGCTGTAACCTTGATTAAAATGAAGATCTTTGCACCGCGCCTAATAAAATGAGTACTATTAAAAAAGGAAACGCTAAATTTGATATATTTTTCAACTTTCAGTAGATGGATGGTTGCTGGGAAAGCGGATCCCGAAATGCCCAAGAGGATGTACATCCACCCCGACTCGCCCTCCACGGGGGAGCAGTGGATGCAGAAAGTCGTCTCTTTTCACAAACTCAAACTGACCAACAATATCTCGGATAAGCACGGCTTTGTAAGTTGTTTTACAGTGTTTAAACCAATCGTAACTGCAAATTACGTAAGGACCTGCTCCCCACCCAAGAAAAAAATTAAAGCACCCACACAAAATTTCTCCAATTATAAAAAAAGTGGATGACATTTTCCTAAAAAAATAGTTTTAGACGATTTCTTTACACGTTTAATTATACAAGTTTCCTGTCAAGTTTTTAAAAGGAAACGACCCCGTGACATGGAAAGATTGATACAATTTCTGTAAAAGTGGTTTTTAATAAAATCAGGCTCGAAATCATCCCGATTATCACTCTCCTGACACCGTAACCCCCCTTAAAAAGTGTGGGGGACTGACTTTTAAACATTTCACCTAAGAATTGTCAGAGCATGCTTCCGAACCTGCCTTTCCGTCCGTGCCTGGCTTTTAGCGGAGGTGGCAGGTAGAGGCGTGTCGAACCATTTACGGATTTATTTTTCCAACAAGTCTAGCGTTTTTTTTCCTTATCTCCAAGTGTGTGACGACTCATTAAGATTTGGCGTATGTATATATCCTTCTCATTTATTTTGGACGTCTCTTTTTCTTGGATTCATTGTTTTACTGCCGCCCTGTAAAATGTTTGTTGTAGGCTCGTTAATGGGTAGCTAGCTAGCTCGTCCAGCAGCACTGACTGCTGCATGGGGAGTCATTTGGTAATAACGAGCTCATTTATTTCTAGTCCAAACATGAACATACATAAGCTTGCATGTTGGCTGATTGTTTTATTAATGTTGTTTATACTGCTGCTGCTGCTGCTGGTGCTGCTGGTCGTAGTGGTTTCACATTATTACTCGACGAGTAATGATATTATTGCGCAAGGTAAATAGTGGAAGACGAACGAAGCCATTATTTCGTTTCATGTATCTCTCTCTCTCTGAGGGGACGCTGCATGGCGTGTGGGGACGAAACGTGTAGATTTTTTGGACACTGGTGGCCATGAAAACGGACCACGTGGACGGACCTGCCTTCATACTTGCAGTACATCTCTGTGAAGAAGAAGAAGAAGTCATAAAAAATGTTTCATGTAGAACAAGAGAGCTATAACACGGGTGGTTTGGTTTCGTTTTTGGCGACTACTTATTTATTAGAGGTTGGATGTCACGATAGGTTTAAATTGTGGGGACGTATGTAGTAAAAATTATTATGGTGGATAAGGCGTAAATTTTTGAACGTTTCGAGTTAATAATTTGGAAGGAGTGCTATTTTTATGGTCGGATTTGGGTAGTATTTCATGCAAATTTTGTCCATATGGAAAAATTATGATGGTTGTAGTTCCAATTTTTTTGGAGGGTAAAATTTTGAACGGTTGAAATTAATAATTTGGAAGGAGTGCTATTTTTATGGGTCGTTTTAAAGGTTTTTTTTTCGATGTGATACTATTTTATATGCAAATTTATTAAAGGGGAAAATTATGGAGGTGTAATTCGAATTTTTCTTTGGGGTTGGGCTTAGGCCTAAATTTAATGCACCACTTAATTAGCTGAAAGTTCCCACTATTTTTGGCGGTACCTCCCACTAGCTGAAATCTTCACTATGTCGGTTTTTTTAGCCACCCAATTAGCTAGTGGTAGCCACTCATTTATCTGATTTCTCACTTAAAGTGATTATGCAAAAATTCTCATAAAAAGCTCAAAAATGTTGATTCCCGTCTCCAAAATCTGCGCTACTTCATTCTTTGTAGTGTCCGTCATACACACCTATCCAGTACCGCCAATTGTAATGTCTAACGCATTCCGCATTAGTTGGAGTTGTTTTAGAGAGTTGTACTATTTTTTATTGCAATCCCCATGCAATTGTCTATCAGAAACCATGTTTCGAAATTTTTTGTAACTCAAGGTGGCAAAATGATAGCTCGGAAGAAACAACATGTTGCAATTTTTCAGCAACATTTTGGCGAAACTGGGTTCGCTACATTAATTTATGTATGTATTGGATATAACAATTGGCGGTACTGGGTATTACAGTACATATATCTGAATTAAGTACATTACAATTTTAAATGTGACATGCATTCACCTTGACTTTTTTGTTCAATGTGGTCGTGTTATTTCATGGTCCTCTGAAGTTCTACCATGAGGGATTTGGCCAGCAGAATAATTCTACGTTTTTCAGAACATGTTTTTGAATGGCGGCAGAGGTATCTGAGGATCTATCCTTCTTCGGTAGTATTTTTCCTTGATACACCCATTCTTTACTTTGTTTCAAAAAAATCTCAGCTTCAGCTCTACTTTCAAAACTCCGTATTTTGAACCAATCACTAATCTTACGAATTTTATTTGCGAGGTATATTCTCATCTTCAGAGATGCTATCAAGATTGTCATTCCCTTTATCCCAATGTACAACTTGCGAACAACCCATTTTAAGTCTAATAGCGAAGTTATTTTTGAAAATTGGAGAGGAAAAAATATGGTGAATATGTAAATGAAGATGAGTAACCTTTTGGTGATAAAATTAACTTTAGATGGTAGTTTTTGGGCATAATCACTTTAAGTGAGAAATCAGATAAATGAGTGGCTACCACTAGCTAATTGGGTGGCTAAAAAAACCGACATAGTGAGGATTTCAGCTAGTGGGAGGTACCGCCAAAAATAGCGGGAACATTCGGCTAATTAAGTGGGGGCCTAAATCTAAGCCTTGGGCTTATCGTTGAAAAGATCTCCTGTTCTTTTATAATGGAGTCGTTTAAATGCAACGCTGCGGTTTGTATTGGTCGTGCCATTATGGGAAATTGTATGGCATCTCTGTTTTTATGATGTCTTTTTCTCCCTCTGTATTGCCAATTTGACCGAGATTACGGTGCAGTTGGAAAAATGAAGATAACGCCACGACGACCAGATAGAATTTTTGGAAACTACTTTTGTCACATGGCTGTGAGGAGATTGAAGTAGAGACGAATTTAGCTCCGAGTTTCCCATAATGATCAACGTGGTCTGAAAATCGGTAAAATTGCGGCCATCCAAAATCCAGTATTATGAAATATCTCAAAAAAATGTAGAATCCGCAAAAATCCCGACAGATAGATTTTTTTATAGATATTCCACTCCACGGGATAAATTTTAACGCATAATTTCAGCGATTGGGTGGTAAAAATGGCGATTTTTCCGTCGACTCGGTCCATATAATGCGGCCCCCGTGCGGCTTTTTACGAGTGGAATGGAGCCTGGGAGGAAAGCCTGATGCCTGGATTTTTTGTGGTGTGAAGAATGGAACACAATTAGTCGTCGTGCATGTACTAGTGTTCCGTCCGTGTGTTCTGCGTTGGTAGGAGGAATAGGGCTGAGCTTGAGACGAGTGGGAAGGGATTTGTGTAAAGCAAATCACAACGGTGCTTGCTTAAATCCAATCCGACCGAACTACAATCATCCCGGCATGAAGAACATTTAGTTAGTTAGTTAGCCTGTAAATTTAGACTGGGAACATTCCCGAGAAAAATTTAGAAGTATTATTCAAAATAGATTTCTTAATAATTTTTTTACCGTGAAAATTATACATTTTGTAAATAGATTGCAAAAATGGTAAAGGTTATGAAGGTCTACAATGGAGGAGCGTTTATCTATTATTAGGCTTTAAATTTAGCGTGGGGAAATTGTCCCGAAAAAATTTTCGAAATGGAAATATCATCAAAAACAACAAGATTTCGTAAAAATTTGTAGGAGAGAAATTATTCATTTGAAAATATATGATCCAGATACGAAGTGATGACGACGAGGGTTTATTTATACCGTAAATTAAGCATGTGAAAATTCCCGAAAAAACAAAAATATCACCAAAGACCTGCTGAGACTTATAAATTTTGCACCATCTCAAAAAAAGATGTGCAAAGGTTACCCATCTTTTGTTGTGAGGTTGTGTGTGTGTTTGTAGAGCGGTGTGAAAACTGTCACCTGGAGGTGAAGATGCTTCTCTTTTTGAGGGGATTAAAAAAAATGAGTCCATATTCGAGTTCATCCAGAGATTTGCACCTTTACAATTTCCTTTCTGACCTTGTTGTCTTGTCTGCTTCACACCTGAGGAGTGATTGATTTTGGGAGAGACTTGTCCCCCAGATTACTCGGTCCGTGTGGATGGATGGGCAGAGAGAGACTCTTATCTCCTCTGAGGAGCCTTATCTCCTCCTAATGCGACATGACACCAAACCAACAGCAGCGTTATTAAAAGGAGGACCATCTCTTGCGTCATCTTTTCAGAAACATAAAACCTCCACATAAGCCAAGCAATAGCGTGTAATCCTCTCAAACCGGTCGTATCTGGCTGCGCATCTACTTGATGAGGATGAGGTCGCTTCGTCCAGGCGCAAAGTAGCCAGTTCACCGTGGACTTTGTCGTTTCGTTGATATCATGATGGTATAGATTTTTTGGCTAAAAATCATCCCAGAAAATTGGGATTATTTCGAAAGTATAATTAACTCGGTAGCTCTCTACGTTAAACAAATATTAAAGGTCCAAGGTTTCCAAGTCCTAATTTTTGTTTTACACCACGTCAATCAAATTTTGACCTTCGATAACTTTTGATCAGGCAGAGTTAATTTTATTTTCGAAATAATGCCAACTTTTTAAAATTGTTTTTCGCAAAAGAAATCAATTTATCCACTGGAAACACATGTGGTCTCGTTGCCCACGAATCGTGCACCCCTTTAATGACAAATCTCACCTATTACACGATAAGGTTTAATATGAATGGAAGAAACCCTTGCTATTTCACACTTTGAAGATAACAGGAGCTTACGTACATGCAATGCAGGTACGGAGGAATAGCAGGCCACGGAAAATCCCAGTGTGCCATTTCATCTCTCTTTTTTGAGGAGCAGTCACCCAAACGGAGAATCGAGATGGGATGATGTCTCTTTCATGTCATCTCACCAAAAACCAAACCATGATTTTGTTCCCGACATCAAACAGGAGAAGAAAACATTACTTTTTTAAAGGGTGTCTGTCATTCCCTCCGTTTCATTTCCAGTGAAATATATTATTTTTTGAGGACACGCCGTGGTTTCATTGTTGATCGAGCAGCCCTACTTGCATGCATAACTTGTCGTCAAACTGTGTGTGGAACCCAATACTTTTGTCGAAATGGAATCCCGTCACCACTCTGAGATAAATGGGATGATAGCGTAACGTACATGGTGAAAGTGCGGGAATTACGTTGTTATACATGTCTCAATAACAGCCCAGCTCCTTCGCCAGAGAGTGGTTTCAGTCAATCAGGATGATTCGGGAAGAGTGAGAGAGCGCATTATTTATGATGATGGGATGGATTGAGTGAATTTGTAGGCACGAGAGAAATGAGATGGGCGTGGAGGGAGGGAGAGAGAGAGTGATGAAGCTCATGTTAGGAAGGGCTGTACAGAAATGACGGTGACCACCACGACCACGTGCTTTCTGCACGCTACGTGGGACATAATCGTGCCGGGAGAAAGTCTGTGTTTTAGTCAGAAGAAAAGTAATGTGCGCTTTTTTTCCCTGGAAGCCCATTCTTCTGACCTGTCCTAATACTCGTCTCCGCACTCTGGTTTTATTGCAGGAGAGGGAAAAGTCGAATAAAAATGGTTTACTGCTCAGGTCAGCAGCGGGATGGACGGACCTACGTCCTGACTCCTGAGCTATACGTACGGTGTGAGAGAGTGGATAGATGATGGCGTGGCGTGGCATGTTTTTTTCTCTCTCTCGCGAGCACAATGTAGCCGAGAGAGAGAGAGAGAGAGCATTTTCTGTAATGAGAGTGTTTTTCGGTGGAAGGAAGTGAAAGAATTTGGGGAAGCGCTGCAGCTTTCACATTCACTTTTGGTAATGCAATCCTTTCTCCTCCTCCTCCTCCTTCTGCGATGGGATGGGAGTGCATCGAGCTGTCTGTCCTGGTGTGGAAATAAATGGTCCCTCCTCGCCTCCCGCTCCCGCATTCGGAGAAAAAGCGCAGACTTCCTTTCGAGCAGGATAAGACTTGGATACAGTTTCTTGGTCGTGGTCGTGGTGGTGGTGGCCGTGGTGGCGGTTCATATTTAGTGGGTGAGAATGTGCGAATAATAATTTGTGCAAATTATCCTACTCTGGAGCAAATAAGTGAGGAGGGAGCCATTGGGTTGTGTAGCACGGCTCGTTTATTTCCAGCAGGCAGCAGGCTTTGACGGTGGGTCAGATCGATATGCACTTTTCTCAAGCGACTGATGTACACGCGGAGGAGGTGGACTGGTCGTGGATAGATTCAATTTATTTCCGCCTTGAAAGTAGTCCTCGAAGAGAAGAGAAAGCTAAAGTGAAAACTTTCAGAGTGCAGGAAAGACGAAAACTTTCTTCTTCTCGGGGAAAAAGACCGGCGCCTCCGGATCCATATATAATTTCGGATCCGAAAATCTTTCAGACGTCATCGCCACTTTTCCCAAAAACCAAACCACCAAAAGTTTGGAGGAGTAAATGAGCTGAGAAAATATTTCATTATTTCATTCACCATTCTGGGGAATAAAGTAGCACCTATTTTTGTAGGGAGGGGGAAAATTTGTCAATTTTCATAATAGACACTAAATAAATTGGAAGTGGCGAGTGAGATATTATTCTGGAGGAGAAGGCAGCAGCACTTATTTTATTTTGGGGAAATTAATAAACACGAGGAAGTTGTGGAGAGGAAGGATAAAAAATTCATGTCATAATTGTCCCCCGATTGTCCTGCGGCATTTAGTGGTATGGTTTTCTCTCTGACGTCGGGAATCGTGGAGCCAGGATAATTTCCTCTCCCTCTCGGCAGGTGAGTGAGGTGAGGCGGAATAGTTGACACTTTCGCTTTCTCCCTGTGCGAAATTCAATCCCAACCTGAATGGGAATGTTTAATGGGTGATGAGCTAATATGATTTTGTACGCCGGTGGACACATGTCGCAGCAGCCAACCCGCACAACGAGAATCCTCGCGTGATAAGCCGTCTCCTCTGCTTCGTGGATATTGATGATTTTAATTAATGGGCGTGTTCCTGCACTTTGCTGAGACAAGTCCAACAAGCCTGCTCAGCCGGGAATATGCCCAGCTAATCATTTATCCCGATAACAGACCTGCATGCATAAAAACAAACTCCAAACGCCAAGGAAGAAACTTGAGAAGGAAAGATTTCGGAAAAGTTGGCGATTTTGTGGAGGCGAATGGAAAATTGAAAAATAGCTAGCGTTCCTCAGTCTAAATATATTTTTGGACTTTGGAAAAGTTTTCCAATTTGGATTTAAAGCAAAAATGACTCGTTCCTTAGTCCGATTGCATTTTTTGATTTCTGAAAAAATTTCCAATTTTTTCTTAAACTAAAAATTGAAAAGAGTGGCCCGTTCCTTCCTCTGACTTTTTTTCGTATGATAATTGTTTCTCATGTGCCCCATAAAACTTGGCTGGACAAGAAAAAACTATATCTATAAAGACTGGGAGTGGTTTTTCCCTGCTGTTAAAAATTCCAGCCGCGTAGTTTTCCTTGATCGGTCGTTGCGGTTATTAGGACGCCCATTGAACTCGCATAATGATAAGACTGAACGAGAAGAGGAACCATATTTTTCAGACAATTGATCCCCTTGATGACGCCGTTTAGAATTGGTCATCTCTTTTTATCCCAAGAAATTGGGCAGCCCCGTCGGACGCGTGTTTCGACTGGATTGAGTGAGGGGGTTAAAATGAGCGAAAAATTAAACGGTTGTACAGACAGATACCGGACGACGGGCAGTGAGCGAGGAGATGTGGTCGTCTGATTGTTGGGAGAAATCCGTCCATCTCGTAATCCCGTGGAAATCCGAGGGATTTGCTATTTATCCAGAGGGGTCGATTTGGTGGGTAGATTCCATTATTCTCGCCACGTACATGCATCTCGATGTGGTCGAGGTATGTAGTTAGGCACTAATGTGGGGCCTTACTTTTTCCCCGTTTAACAGACATGGCACGACGTATGGATGGACAATTTTTTACTATTTTTTCCTCCATACGTATCGCTCCCCGTCCGTCCCAACAGCATCATTAAAGACCTCATGTAGTGACTTGTACTGGACGATTTTTCGATTTTACCACATATTTTGATTTTTTGTGAAATTTTTAATACGTAAATTTTTTTATTATTTCGTAATTTCACATACCGCTCCCCATCCTTACATTTTATTCACTGTGTCACAGACTGACTTGATTATGACGATTTTTGTAAAACTTTGCCCCCTGAGAAATTTAAATTAATTTTTTTTTTAATTTTTGACCATATCGTATCTACAATTTTTTTTAAATCTCATAAATCACTCTCCATCCCAGCATCATTACTGACTTATTTACCCCGATTTTTCCTTGACTTCACTCACTCACCTTAACCCCCGACATATTTTGATTTTGATTTTTTTTTGTTTTTGTGAAATTTTTGATCATGTTTTGCTGATGCTATGCCCCCTCTATGTTTGTCCACCAGTGTCCAACAATGCAGCTGATGGCAGCTTTCGGTGCCATGCAGTCAAACTGGAACACTAACAATGGAGACAGGGACGGGGTGCGTGCCTTACACATTTTAAATATATTCAGATAAATCTATCTATATTTCTTCCTCCTCACTCCACTTCCGCTTCCTCCACCACTCGCACCTCTCTAGGAAATTCATACCTTTCACCTCCACCACCACCTCCTCCTCATTTCGAGATGGGCAAAAATTCAGTAAATTATTTACCACTGGTGCTTGCTGACCAGGAGTAATTATTCCAGAAAGCGAGGTGATTAAATTCTTGCGACCGAAATTCGGGTGATTATTATCACCTTGCCAATAGAGAAAAGCGGACACAGTCATGCAGGGTTAGACATTCGGGTGTGTCATTATTATGCACGTGGTGGTGAAAGTTGGACAGGTTTTAATTCATGGTGCGACAGGGAGAGGAACTAAGTGCAGAATTAATTATCATTGCTGTTCATCCATCCCGTAGTGCATAAATATTCACAATTATGTAAAGATAGAGCAGTGTGGAGTGTTACTTTATTAATGGGATGGTCGCTCGTGGGGTGATTTTTTTTCGGTGGGGATCGGGTTTTTGCAAGAAGTTGTACCTCATGAAAATCGACGCGGTGGAAAAATTGGTTCATTTTGCAAAATTTCTGCATAATTCATTCCGCATAAAATTATATTTACACTGTGCGGAAAAAGAAGACAGAGTATGCCGAAAATAAGTACGTCAATTTTTTCACCTGGTCGATTTTCCCACGGGATGATAAGTTATCATGATAAGCGGGATTGATTACAAAATCCATCGCTTTTTTTCACTTTTGGAACATGATTTTGATCGTACCACGTCTTTCTTGTACCCTTTAAGCAGACGATCCTCAACTCCATGCACAAGTACCAACCTCGCTTTCACCTCGTTCGAGCCAACGACATCCTCAAGCTGCCGTACTCCACGTTCCGCACCTACGTCTTCAAGGAAACCGAGTTCATCGCCGTGACAGCCTACCAAAATGAAAAGGTACATACTAATTTCCAAATTTCTTGCGTTTTTGACCATGAATTTATCCTCGTCTCACTTTTTTCCTCTTTCTTTCTCTCTTTACAGATTACTCAATTGAAGATAGATAATAATCCATTTGCCAAAGGTTTTCGCGACACGGGGGCCGGGAAACGTGAGAAAAAGTCAGTACACAAAGTATTCATTATGTAACAAAGATAGTTGACATGAGAGAGAAAGATGCTTCGTAAGTAATAATCCAGCCAATTATTCAGAATCCAATCCATGACCACACCACAAGTGTGTAAGGTCTGGTTAAAAATAGAGCGTATTAAAACCTCTCGTACAAAAATGTATACCCATCGAAATGAGAGGATTACGTGGATGGATGTATTAATACACATGGAGGAGTTATTATTACGGTGGATTGGAAATGTGTTTTTGTTTAGTGGTGGTGGTGGTGTCGATGTCATGCGAGATAAATAGTTGAGCAGATCACTTATTCTGGCTGGATTATGGAGCGATACGATCTATGCTAATTGTCATCCTCGATAGAATAAATTGATACGTCTTCCCAGCCAGGGAGAGAGAGAGACAATTTCATCATCACGTGCACATGTGGCCTTTCAATTTGACCCTCGCCTTCCACCACCACCACCACCACCACCAAAAGTGAGATGGGAATTAAGACAAGAGAGAGTTTGTTGTGTGGTGGGGTCGTGTGGGGAAGATGTGCCTCTTTCGTGGGCAGGTTGCACCCCGATCTGCGGGCCGACATGCTTTATCCCTGCCCCCTTGAGAGGATCATATTATTCGCTATTAATAAATACTCGGAGAGGGAGATTTACCAGTATAAATAGTTGACATATGGATGGATGCAGACGAAAAGCAGGTAGATGATGATGATGATGATGATGATACACTTAATTATTTCCAAGTGGGGGACGGTGCCGGATTATAAATACGTAACGACGATAGATAAGGCGCTCATCTATTTATCTGTGGTGGTGCGCATATGAATTAAAATTAGTGGGAGATTACTGGGAGAAAGATTTGTCTGCAGAAGGGCTGACTTGAGGACACCTAGGCGTCGAGAGACAGGAAGGAACAAGGGACACAACAAGCCACCACGCAATAATAATAACCACGTCTGGTGCGTGGTGTCTCTTTCTCCGTCTAATTAGTTGTTGCGAAAGGGGGCATGTTTTTGATGTTCTTCTCGACGACGATCTCGATGCCGGCATCTCTTTGACACTGAGAGAGAGAGAGGAACATCTCTGTGAAATCTTCTCCCCATCCGGTTTAAATTTGGTGGTGGAGTTAATTAGAATGGCGGTGGTGGTGGTGGTGGGTTCGTCGTGGGCGCAGCTAGGCGACGAATTCTCCGAGGAGATTATGTTCGTATGCCCAACGTGGGGGCAGGTTAGTTGGGATTTAGTACTTAAATTCTGTCATCTCACTCTTATCGAGATGTCAGAGGCCAGGGGGTCGTGCAGGTGGGATGGTTATCGTGAGGTGATTATCATCCCGTCACATTCTTCGTGTCCCGTCCCTCTTTGCTAATTTAACAGATCTCTTGTTCTCTGGGAGGCACCATTTAACTGTCACTCAACTCATTACACACTTCCCACGAAGGAGAGAGAGAGAGAAGAAAAAATTTTGTTGCACATGGGCGCCCAGACTTGGCTCCACCGCTGCACGTACGGAAATAAGAAGTTGTCAAATCAATAGGCTTTTTTTAAGCGGCGTGGTTTATGCTAAGGTTAATGATGCCAGAAAGTCAAAATAAAATGCTCTCCACCGCAAGACTTCCGCCTATTTTGCGGCCTGCTCGTCTCGAACGAAATCTGTCCCCGTTTCTTTTTTTCTTTTTTACATAATCCCCCCAGATTTATGAAAGTTGGATGGAGGAGAGAAAATAGGTTGATAAATAATTGGGCTGCCATTAGTCATCCGGCAGAGGAGAAGAGGACGGCATTAATTGGTATGATTCGCACCTGCGAGATTTTCAGGAGAGGGAAGTCTGTAATTATTTTGGATCAGCTAAACAGACAAGCATTGTTCGCTTTATTTGTGATAATGAGGCCGAAATTCTTCACAAGTTGATGAGATCGCATGATGATAAATTAAACAAGTGTTTTGTTTTTCTTGGGATATTTTTGACTGAATAAAGAAGTCATTGAGTGACACGAAGGGTTGCCACGTCGTGCATCCTGACCAGAGGATGGATATGCATTTACTTATTTTCAACTTCGATGACAAACTTTGTATCCTCCAAGTTTTGGATTAGGTCATAAAAATGGCAAATATTTTGTACACGTTTCACATATATTTGAAATATTTTGGATATTTTTTCAAAATAGATTTTAACGATTTGAGACGGAATTTGTTTTTAAATGAAATAAGGCCACAAAGAATTCAAAGATAGAAATTTTGCAAAAATTCATGCTTTTATGAATATATATATCTTTTTCGTAAATATTTTAGCGTTTCTTTTCACACGTAATAATTTCATACATGAGTTTTAAATACATATCCGTCCTCTGAAGAATTTCTCGCAGTGTGTCGTCGGGTACATGTGCTTTGTCCTGCTCACGACAAATAAGAATGGCGAGGTGACACTGTTTTGGTGGTTTGGTTGACGTGAGATCTGGGGTGGCATGACTGTGGCAAAAAAGGTCTATTTTAATTTGGATTTAGAATTTTTTTGCCCAGCGTTACATAAGGACACCATTGTTTCTTTTGTAAATAATGAATGAATGTTTGACGGAGAGAGTCATGTCGAAATTATGCCGTATCACTTTTGACACTTGAATTAAACTTTTTTTTGCAAACTGGGTGGAAATTTTGTGCAAAATGAGGTAAGTACCTGTGATGGTTTGGTTTGGTTAGGTTAGTGACGATGATGATGCAATTGCAGTGTAATTATGTACTTAGCAAGGCAAAAATTCCCGGAAATTGGGTCCACTAAAAAATTATTGCTTGCTATATATAAAACCTTTTAAGGCAGGGAAAGATTAAAAATTCATAAAAATGACGATATTCCTACTCAAAATGACAAATTTTACTTAAAGGTTGGGAAAATTACGAAACAATTCACTATTTTTTAAAGATTTCTAAAAATAGGAATATTTCGACTCGAAATGAGGTAAATTTCAGTACAAGGGAAAAAAGTTGCACATTTCTTTAAAAATATGTGAATTTTTAGTGATGATTCAACTCGAAATTTTACATCAAGCTTTAATAAAAGGGTGAATTTTTATAGTGGAGGAAAAAAATGAATAAAAACGAGTATGTCATAAATGTGAGAATATGCACAGGCAGAGGACTGAGAAATAAGACAGAGGACCCTTTTGTCCCATGACGTTAGACATGATTCCACTTCGTGAGACTTGAGACAAGGTTCACAACCTTGTTCTCATGTGAAAGAGTGGCATTGATGAGCACCCATCTGAAGAAGCTTACTTATTATTATGTAATAACAACATTTGAAGGAAACCCAAAGGTTGTCCAGAGGAGCCAAGTCGACCCCGTGGAACAGGGGAAGTTCTGTTAATTGTGGAGACATGAGGGAGCAATTCTCGTCATGGCATCGTGGTTGTGATATGTTTTTAAAATAGGCGATAATGAAACAGAGAGTGGCAGTCAGTTTGCTTAGGCGATGACCCATTGCGAACTGTCGCGACAAAGTTGAGCTTGCTTTCATCTCGGCCGACAAGACGAGGACCCATCCCTTCTTCACCCATGGGTTCCTGTCTTGTCAAAAAACATGCCTATTTTGGGTTGTAATTCCAGGGTTAAAAGGAAGATATGATTTTGAGATGGAGACAATTTTGGCAAATTTTTTACTCAATTTGTGCTAAAGAAATGAACAGTTTTCCATGAAATTCAAGTTTTTTTATGGATAAATTGGTGGTGAAGATATTCAATTACAGTCTCGACATGGTTAAAAGTACGTTAAATTTTGAGAAGATAACAATTTTTGGCAAATTGTTTTCCACAATTTTTTTTCTCCAGATAAAAATTGTTACCTGGGCGGTAGCAAATCCATGTTAACAAAATGGGTGAAGAAACGCAGGTCTTTTAATGAGGGAAAAAGCGAGCCGTGTATATATTTGTGTCCCTAAATAAACCGTGTCTACACCATTTTAGCTGCTGCTCGTGCTGGTTGGTATGCATGCATGGGAGGAAAAGCCACAAATTACCCTTGAGCCAATAATTATCAACGCCTCGGTATTTATATTTTCTTTGAGAAATGAGACCCCTCTTTTGTACGTAAATGAGTCGCTGCACCGACAAAGTCAAACCGCTGGTTATGCGATACCCTTACACATTTTAAAGTCGGTAGCGGCGCGGTGGCTACAAAATGCGTAATCTGTTCCTTTTTTTACGTGCGAGAATCAATCCGAACCTTTGTTCCGTCGCTGATGACTTTATAATTTGTTGGTGTGCGTACTTACGTCAGCGCAGGTGGAGGAGGATAACTTATTGACACGAAAGCTGTAGATTATTGTGTACATTTACGTAGATCTAATGGATTTGGGTGACTAGTTAGCAGTTATCAATTGTTGTCGAAATGTCATTAAGTAATGATACGTATGGGGGCAACAGTGTGTAATTACCACGACTATCCGGGTGGGTAATAAGTGAGGGGTAATTAGGGCAAAGTTATTTAGTGAGGGGGTCGTGCGGTACGTATGTTGGTCTGAAAATAGAAGAAATTGCGCATCCTATCCGCATGGCCTAGCCGTGGACTCGTAAATCTTTGTATAATCGCTCGTTCAAAAGCTATTTAAGGTCAAAATATCTCAAATCCCATTTTTTTACACCATCTTAATTAAACTTTGACTTTCGATAAGTTTTGAACGAGGAGAGATCTACCGAGATAATCTGATTTTCGAAATAATTCCAATTTCTGGGTTGATTCTTATGCTAAAAATCTCTTATATTTCGCAATAATTCGAACCAACGAAAAAAGCATTGGCGTACTAAATAATAAATGCAGTTTCGTCCACATCTCTCTCTCGGTCAACTATTATTAAAGGCTCATTAAACGAATGTGACCTAACCTTCGAACTTTCCCTTTGTTCCAGTAGACAGGCAATGTTAGCGGCTCAACGGCACGACGGGTCACGGGATGCGGGGCCCTCCGCCAGCAATAATCTCAGCTCTGGAACGACCGACTCCATGTGTCACGACCCCGATGACGATGAACGCGTCGACGTTGTGGGAAACGATCACCGGCCCGACTCCGTCTCACCACCCCTCCATCGACACCATCACGGTAAGACGATTACTTACGCGACATCAGCTACGTGTCGGTCCAGCCATTGTTGTTATTCTTGTCAAAACATGAGAACAGGTTTATCTGGTAAAAACATGGGAAATACATATCCTTGCACAGGTTTTTCTTAAGTCGATTGTCGGTAGTTTTTTTGTCCTTTTCTCGTCTGGGACAAGAGCGAGTTGAGTGCCAAGTTTTTCTTGTAATGATTTCAATTAGAGGTGTCAAAGAGCAAGATGCAGTGTCGGGGATGGAGAAAAGGGGATAATCTCCTCAAATCCATTAAGGGGGAGAGGATGACTCTCTCTCTCTCTCGACGAGTCGGTGAGGTGTAAGTGAAGTAGTCGTTGAGGAAAAAAAGGTGGAGATGGATAATTTGACAGGGTTCGGAGAAAACGGGAAATTTGAGCTTTTTAAGGGAGACACACTAGGTTTCAAGGTATAGTTGGACACTTAAGTGGGTAAAATTGTGACATAAATTGGTGCAAAATGGCAGATTTCTATGTTAAAAAAGCAAGCAAAGATGTTCAAAAGTTTTGACACAATTGCAAAAAATGACAAATTTTCATATGAAAAATGTAGAAAAATACGGGCTTTAAATGTGTTGCATTCGACCACTTGAATGTGCAAAAACACGACAAAATTGTGACATAAAATGGCAAATTTCCACGTTGAAAAGGTGTCCCATAAAATTCTACGACCCAAAACCATCACAATTCGGAACCTTATTTCGCCCTTTTTGACAAGTGTTTGAAACCTCAAAGTGGAAAATAATTTTACGCTTGCAAGGAAGTATTTTTTGAGTTGTGGAATATAATGGAGGACAAGTTTTTTTAGAGAGAGAGATCAAGACTCAACTCCTCAGTCTCATTCTCCCCCCGGATTTGTACTTGTATTATTGAGAAGTAGGAATTGTTGATGACTCTTTTTTATTTAGATTTGGATGCATTTAGTGTCGTGTTGTTGGTCGGTGGTTGTGTTGGTGGTGGGGAGAGATGATATGCATTAAGTTTGTGCTATCAATGGCCCGACTTTTCATGAATAATTCATCCCATGCTGTTATCTCGACTAAAGCAGATTTAGATTTAGCATCCCTTCTGCTCCTTCGGAATCAATACATCGAAAGTCGGGACAAGAAAATCCAATTGTGTTTTGGGAGAAGAACTCGAAGAACTCGATTGTATTTGTCTGGATGATGGGGTCAGGTCAATGGGGAGGGTGGTGGATCCCATTTCATCCGTTTTTTGCCCCTCTTGTCGCTCTTTTTGGTGGAATGATACCCGATCGAGGAACAAGATAGCGGGTGTAATCCCCTTAAGCAGACTTATGCCCGTCACATCGAGAGAGGACGGCACTCAAATGACGAGACGTCTTATTTACTTGAGCAACAGATTTAGGGAAATTGCAATCTTTTGCGAAATGCGTTTTTTAAATACTCAATTTTTCTCATCTCCCCTTTTCCTTTACTTACAGACTACAGCGGCAGTGACCGTCGTCGAGACGCGGAAGACTCGGACCGAGACATAAGCGACTCAGGGTCGGAAAGTGGGGGTGGTGGTGGCGGAAGCAACGTGGGCAGTGTGAGCGGCGGTGGCGGTGGCTTCCGTCCCACTTCTCGCGGGAACCATCTCGACCATCCTAGTCCAAACATTTCTCTGGGGCCACCCCTCCAACCCCCCATGCTGCCCTACCTCTACCCACCCAACTTGTACCCTGGGGGACCTGGGATGAACCCCCTCGGTCCACCCCCCTCCTTGCCGCTCTCTCTCTTCGGCGCCAACTCGGCCCATCCCGGCGCCGCGTCACTCCCTTCCTCCCTCCTCTTCAATCACCTCCTCCAACAGCAACTCTTCCACTCAGGCTACCCTCTCGGCCCCCCCGTCTCGCTGGCCTCTGGCCCCGGTAATCCATTCTTCTTACGTAAATAAAAACTTCTCTTTCGGCCATGGGCGGAAAGGATGTGATGGATTATCTCGGGGCAGGGAGAAAAAAAGTGATAAGCGCGTCGTCTTCCCCCCCCCAAAAAAACCACGAGTACATCACATCCTTCCCGCACCACGGCCCCTCTGCGACTCTTCCTAGGGAACATGCCTGTACAACGGTTGATGTATTGTGTTGCAGCCCTGCTCTCGGAACGTCTCAAGGCCCACCGCTTCCTCCCGTACCCACTCATCCCACCGGCCACGGCGTCCTCCTCGTCCACCTCGTCCCTCAGCTCGAACTCGACGGGCGTCCTGGGAGGCGGAGGCGGTGGGGGAGGTTCCCTCTCCGCCTTCGAAACCGTGACTCCCTCCAGCCCCAAACTCTCCCCGAGACCGAGCGTCGACACACCGACGGCGCGGATTGCAGCGGCCGCCGTGACGACGACATCCCCACCGCCCCCGCCGCCACCATCCCATCACATGTCGCCCCTCCTTCAACACCCCTCGGAGCTCAAGTCCATCGAGAAAATGGTCAACGGGCTGGACATCAAGCCCGGCACGGACGGGAAACTGCTGACAAGTGATCATCATCATCAACACCACCACCATTTGGTGGACAAGTAGTGCGTCGTATCTCTGTGTGTGACGTGAGTGAGTACATTCCCGGGCCAAATTTTGTGTGTGACGAACTTTACGACGACGAGGACATACTGTTAGAATAAATTATTTGATTAAAAACAAGTGTCAATAACGTGTGTGACAATGTTATTAATTAAAAATACTTACATAACCCGCTGCGCTTTATGTAGTTTATAGTGGAAAAAATAATTAAATAATTACCCAGAAATGACATAAAATAATGAATAATTAGTTTTAGTGGTTATAATTAAGCAGTTGGTTATAGTATTTATCTAAATAGTGGAGGAGGAGGAGTAGGTGAGAGAACCAGTGCAAAAACACCACCCTGTTTTTTTGGTGAAAATCTATAAGAATTATTATTATGTAATAATTACATATATTACGTATGATTAAGGGAAAAAACTCTTGAGCTTTATTTATTTGGAGGACGAGAAGAAGGTCGCTTATCGTCACGATGATAATCTCTGTGTGTGTGTGTGTGTATCTGACTGAGTATGCATAATTATGATTAGGCAGCAACCCATCTATGCATAAAAAATTGTGTAAAACCGCTATATGAAAAATATTGTTAGTTTTTGGCTGAATAATTTCTACCCAAAAAGTCAGACGAGGCACCACCCCTATGGAAATCGAGTAGTGGCAGAAAATTGGCACATTTTTCTGGATATTTTTTGCGAGGTGAATCACGCAAAAATTATCTGGACGCAGAGAAATGTACCATTTTTTTTGGCACATGGATTTTCCTACGAGGTGTGACGCCGACGTGTGACCTGGGGTAAGATGCGACCCTTGCATAATTAATGAAGGGTACTCACAAACACAAATAATCTCACTTTCCCTCTGAATATCTCTCTTTCTCTGTATAATCCGTACCATGTTGCGTACGACTAAGTCAGCTAGATAGAAAAAAAACTAAATTCCTCTCAAAAAGCCAATGCCTACTGCCGGGAGAAAGTGGTGGTGGTGGTGGTGAAAGTGGTGCAAGTGAAGGCGTCGTGAAATGTGTACCGCATTGCATTGCATTAAGTTACCTATGACAAGAAAAGAGAAAACTTGCTGCTGCTGCTGCTGCTGCTACGAAATCCTCTCGACATGTGTGTGTAACAGTCAATTTGTAAAGATTGAAATGGGCAATCAACACGAATAAATAAATGTTTCTTATTTGCTACACGTAAAAAAATTGTGGTGCTTGATTTGCATTTCATTTGTGGACATGACACGCATACTTCTTCAGTGATGCCGTAGTGGTCGTGGTGGTGGTGGTGGTGTGTGGGTGAATAAATTGAGAGAGAGAGAGCTGATTAAAGTCAACAAAATCAAGGCCTGTTTAGTTTGCCCTTTGGTACACCATGAAATTGATGCCTGGCACGTTGTGACGGATTCGTATAATCGTAGACAAACGTGTTATCTCTTTGGGGACTCGAGATTTGGGTAAAAATCAGCCCGAAAATTGGGATTATTTAAAAAAGTAAATTAACTCCGTCCGTTTAAAAGTTATTAAATGTTAACGTTGAATAAAATTGGGATTTGGAAGACTTTGACCTTTAATAACTTTTGAACGGGTAGGGGCACTGAGGTAATTTCTTTTTTGAAATAATCCCAATTTTTGGGTGGATGTTTAAACGACAAATTTCGCCGATTTCCTATTCCTTCACCATTACGCCGAGCCGCCGACGCCGCGAAAAAGCCGCCGCCACAACGACAAAATAGGTCTGGGTCGACCTCCAGAGCTTCTCCTCTTTTTGAACGAGACACTCTTGACGTCGGAGATAGAGAGCGAGAGAAAATTTAAATCCGAGTGAATAAATCGCATAGAATTTGTAGATGGAGGAGAGAACCCGCTTTTGTAACCTTTGTTCCTTTATGTATTTACGAGGCTGGATCCATTACCTCACTCAAGCCAAGCCACAGCAGGATCCAATCTCGCTCCCAATTTAATCCCAATTAGGGAAATGAATGAATGAAATGCAAAAACCCTGCACCTCGGATCAAATGAAAAAGAGAGTGCATATTTATTTACAGCTCATTTCTCAAGGGGTCCTTTTTCATAGGTGATGATTTCTTGGTGTCGATAAGTATCCAATTTCCGACGGAGGTGATTCCCAATGCCAGGTAATTATTCCATCAAACTCTTTCAGCCACTGATCACCTCGAAATAGGCTGAAAAAAACGGTCAAAATCCATCTCATTTTTTTTATCCCCGACCTAAACATTCACCTCTCTTGAACAAAAACATGACGATGATTGGATCGCTTTTCCTTGTGATTATTAGTGTCTGGTTTTCCAGCCCAAAATAAAAACAAGAACCTTTCCTCATGTCTCGCTCGTCTCGAACAAATTTGTGCACTTTTTCCCCGTTAAAATTAAACAGGTGATATGAGAAAACTGTGTCGAGGAAATGAGTGGATTTAAAATTTAAACGTCCCTCCCCCGTACGGTACCTGGTTGATTGTACATTTCCTGTAATCAATGAAATTAGAGTGCTCACTGCCTCGTTCCTCGTTTGATCTCTCACTCCCATTTTTTTCGACTAAGCGAGAATAATGCATAGGCGACGCACTCCATAAAGTCCGGCCCGCTACGAGTCCCTCTCCATTATTAATTAGTCCTCCCGGAAAGAAAGTGCTCTCCTTTTGAGACACACTTTTTTTCTAAATTGTGCCTTTGATCAGCTCCGGATTTCATCCCATTTCGTTTTCTCCTTTTGTTAAAACTTTCTCCTGCGCGAGATGACAAAGACGTAATGCTATTAAACCGCAACCACGGCGGCGGCGGTGGTGGTGTGTGTAGGATACATGCAGTGTGCTACTGCTGCTGCTTATAATCTCGAGCATATTATGTTAGGAGGAGAGTAGAAAAAAGAGTCTTTTAGACGACGAGCTGGACGGTGGTGGTGGTGGGGGTTAGGTTGGCAGTCGTGGTGGAGGGTTATCTACACTTGAGATCGATAAAGAGAGAGGAGAGAGCATGAAAAAGTTTGAAAAATGTGTGAGCTTCTTCCTCCCTCCTCTCTGCTTTTGGCTGGTGGTGTGTCCCATCGAGTGTGCGCCGCTCCCTCGGCGTAATCGATAAGCCAAACACTTTCCTCGCTCTCCTCTACACACACACACACCCAGAGTGAGAACACCACCACCACTTTCTCCCTTTGTCATCCGGGCGAGATATATGGGCGTCCTTGCTTCCACATCATCTCGCTGGACGGACGCTGCATCTGCGGTGGGAAACTACTTTCCCCTCGTTTTAATCCACCTCCACCTTCGCCGTGTCGCCAATCCCACGGCTGCATCTTAATCGGCAGCATCAGTACAAGAGTTGTATGCCCATGCCCATAATGTTGAAACAAATGCCATATTTTCATGTCCTGGACATCGTACAGACAAAGGATAAGCACGATTCAGGCGGATATTTACTCATTGAATTGCGTAAGAGATCATTTCTCATTAAGATTAAGCGGTGCAGGTGTAATCGAGGTGGTGGTCTGGTGGGTAGAGAGAGAGGAATGAGTGACAAACACGGTCAGGTAACCGGTTCGAACCCCTACATATTTATTTACTCGAGTAAAATGAGTGGAACGGCAGCTGAGGTTTTTTTTAGGTTTGTAGATATTATTCTTCTTCCCTTTGTTCATTGTGGTTTGGTTTTTCGGATGACAAATGATGAGTGGAGGAAGAGGCAGGAAAAAGGAAGTGGACGAGAAAAACGATTCATTTCAATAATCTGAGATTTCGATATCTATCTTCACCATTTTCCACCACCATCCTTTCGTCTCAAGAGATGAAAAAATCCACCCATTTCGACAGAGAAGTGTCAGTGTAATAAAATGTGTACATTTGGCAGGACCAAAATTCACAGAGTAATCAAACATGCGTAAAATGGGTACCGTTTTTTTCCTGGGAACAACAAGTTTACTCGCCTAACGAATTGTGTATTTGAAGGGTAACATCATCCTGAAATGATTGCACGTCCCCCTCAACTGCGGTTTTGTTCTTCGCCATGGTTTGCTTGTGTACTTGATGGTTTGATTTGATCACTTGTTATCCCCTCTCCTTGAGCGACTGGGAGATTACAGGGATTACTTTAATCTACCCACAGCCGCCGAGAAGACAAGCGTCCCGACAGCTTCGAGGATATCTAAAACCACGCAAATAAACTAACTACTTTTCGGGTGAAATGATTGGAACAAACTTTTTTCCTCGGGGAGGGGGACAAAAATCCGCAATTTTTAGTCCCACCTACGCATCCAAGATGGAAAAAAAAGAATATGCAACTAAATAAATAACATTTCCTTAATTCCCAAACTCATTTTTTCCACATTTCCACCACCGCTGCTAGGATGCCAAATGGGAAACTTTTTTTTTACCTGGGCGAGAATGCATTAATCCGAACCAACTTAATATCAAGTTTTGCGTAGTTATTTATTTATTTGTTAAATGAATTGAGCAAGGAATCGATCGCGTAAAAACTCACATTTTTTTTACAACATACTTTTAAAGAAATTACAGAATTTCTTGTCAGCAGGAGAAGTTTCCTACTGTTTTATTTATTTGTTTGTTTTATAAATAAATGATAAAAAAGAGGGTTATTTTGTATTCATCCGGGTTGTAAAAAAAGACGACTGTGAAATATATAAAAAAAATTGAGGAAGTTAAAGTTCACTTTTCCTGCGTGTTTCCCTTAATTCGCGACATAATGGTTGGTTTGGTGGGTTTGGCCGTAAAAATGAAATGTTAGTGCAAAATTGAGGAGTTTGGTAAAATATTCATGCACATCAATCCATCCGTCGGCAAATACAAAGTTAAATACATATTCACGCGAAATGTGGTGGCTATTTTTTTATTTTATACTTGTTGACAGTCCTTTTGCGATATGTGTTTGCATATTTACAAGGTTAGTTTATAGTTTAAGTAAAGTGGGTAAAATTTAGTGGTCGTTCCATTTCGAACAGGTCGTGTCCTCCTGAATTTTCTGTGCGAAATGTAATCTCACTCTGATTTCCGGATGTGTCAAGTGGGCGAAAAGGGAGATTTCACCCAAATTTCTTCCACAGAAATGGTTAATCTGAATGACAAAATCAATACAAAATTTTTACATTTCTGCTAAATTTTAATCTCGGTACGAGTATCATAATGACCCTTCATTTCCTTGCACGTGATTCATTTCGTCCTGATTTTGGGGTATGTCTAGTGAACAAAATTAGTAGAAAAGGGGACGAAAAGGGACCAGTCTATGATGAATTTATCCCAATTTCGTCCAATTTTGCCCCCCCCCTCTGAACTTGATGCCCCCTTCAGTTTCAAGTGTGCCATACATTTCATCCTTCTTTTGGGACATGTCAAGTCCACGAAATGAGTGTGACCCCCACGCGGACGAAGAATTGGGGTGACCTTTTGGAAACCCTGTCCTCTTCTCTCTTGACCACACGACAGGTTTAAAAGTTTACCCAGTTGACAGTGGCACTTTTCCTGGGACCGCATTTATTTGTATGCTCTCTCTGTTGTCTCGGCGTATTATTTACTTTGTCAGAGTTAAAATTACAGAGGAGGTGATGTCCAGTGCGGTTAGTGGAAAGTCGTCGAATGCACGAGTTTCTCGTGCTGAATTATTTATTTGATTTTGAAATTGGATAATCTCGTGGATGAAAAGTAAGTAGATGACGACGACGAGGACGACGATGATGAAAAATGTGTCGAGCCTTATACACCACCCGACACGGTTCTTCCATTGGGAGACTCATCTTTTATTAACCACGCTTCTCCCACCCAGCACAAGATTGCAAATTGCTTACCCACCCACCAAAGGGGCCCCGCAGCAAGAACGGGGTGCCAATTAATGGGAAATTTATGCCGAGACGGACCCGTCCACAAGCCAAGAATTACATAGTTTTCTCTTGAATCAAGTCCTGTTATAATTTTTTTGCATACAATTTTCCTGCAGATTGCATGATATTTTTCTGTGAAATTGAATACGTAGAATTTTTTTGGTCTATTTCTGGAAGATTCTACAGGGCTCTTTGGTAGAAAAATGGACAAGTGTTCGGAAATTTTTCTACAGACGAAAATTCTGGAGATTTTTCTCCAAAGTGTAAATTTGCAGGATGTTTTTGTGCGGAATGAACAATACATAAATTTTTGTCCCAAAACATGTCCAGTTTCATACTGGATAAAAATCTGTCCCTTTTTC